AATGCAATTAAAATTATCCAAAAGACTGATACAACAATTGAGGAAATCGTAGAAACAACCTGGTACAACAAACACAGAAAACAACTAGCAAAAAACCAAATAATGTTCCTCAACTAAATTACTAACTTCGCAGGTACAAGACTAGCAGCATGAGTAGAAATCACTTACCCCAACAAGAAACCAAACCGGAAAAAACCCACATGGTACAAAGAACTGCAGAACAACTCCAGAATTCATGAACTAATCAAACAAAGAGCAACAAGTCAAACCTTTAACCACTCAAACATACAACTTGCAATAGAAACACCAAGTAACAAGATCAAGTGGGTAGCAAAACAAAACAAACAAACATAATGTAATTGGAAGGAAAAAAGCAATAATAGGTAATACAGCCAAGCTACAACACTACACAAGAATTAATGAACAGTCCCCACTACAAGAATGTCATGGATGCATCATAGATACACAAGAAAAACCAGGAGAATGCATATTCACAAGAGACATCTGCAGCCTAATAAACACCCCAGTACATAAGAGCAGAAAGAGTTCTAGACACGAAATAAATGAAACAACAGTACACAGAAGCCGCATTACACCATCAAGTCTCCAAATAATGCTTAACACAACATTTCCACATTGCAACCTCCCTGAACCATCACAAATAACTCAAAACACACTTCATATCAACAAACAAATAATTTAAAAAGTTATAAACTCATTATCAAACATAATTGAACAACTAGCAATGATCAGATACAAAATCAGGAATCTCAAAACAATAAATGTATACACGGACAGATCCCTCAGTAAAGACAAAAAAATGGGATTTGGATGGCACATTCCACAAATGCCAGAAATCAATTTCCAAGAGAGAATTGAAAAATTCCCATCATCTACCAGAGCGGAATTATCTGCAATAGCTTCCTTCCTCATAACAGTCCCAGCAGGTAGCAAGGTGATAATATACAGTAACAGTCAGGCAGCACTAAATGCCATAGAAAAAATACAAAAGGATTACTCAAAAATAAAAACACTTAACAACAATAACCTAATCAACTCTATCATATACACAATCAACTTACAACATATTCAATACACAGGAAAAAAAATCAAAGCTCACAACCAAGACCCAAACAATGATAAAGCAAACCAGCTGGCCAAAGAAGTAGCAGATCTAAACGCTGACTTCATTATAAACTTTACACCTCAAAAATACAACAAACAAAGATAATCCCAAGAATGGAATAGACAGATCTTGGAGAACACAATATTACAAATATACAAGAACATAGCTAGAACTAAGTACATTCTCAGCTGGAGAATGCTCAACTGCAACTTAATAACAATCACAAACTGTTGCACACTAGAAGATATCAATTGGTCAGAATCCATGACACACAAACATCCATCAAAAATCACAACAGGAACAACAAACTGAGAAGACCACAATGCCAGATTCTTCAGACTAAAACTATGGAATCTGGAACTTTCAACAAAAGATAAATTACACCAAAGATTCAACACGACATATACTGACAACAAATGCATTATGTGTAACCAAGACATAGAATCAAACACACATTGCATGACCTGTACACAAAAAAGAAATAACACCATTAAGATACTTAATCAAATCATAAACGAAGAAGTCAGCAGTTGAACAGAAGTAAAACTAGAACACAAGCTCTCCAAAGAAATAAAAGAACATCAAGAGTTATGGACCCAAGAAATCCAGAATTGCATTGCAAGAGGAGCGCTCACATCCAAACTAATACACATAATCAAAAAACACACAGATAAGACAAACAAGCAGAAACAATAGGTCAAATTACACAAAGGCTTTTAATAGAACTACACTCCAAATGGAAAAACAGATGCGAATACTTTGTCAAATGGGAGAACGAAAACAACTTTACAAGAGAAGACAAGAAAAGATGGAGTATCAATAAGAAAAAGACAAGCCAAAACAAAACCTTTATACCAGGACTTAACAAAATTATTAAACAAGCTAGCTATGACTGGATCAACTGGAATACAATTTACTTATTCAACACTATTTTTTTTTGGAACAGGTAGAGCCTTGGCAAATTAGCTAAGTATATATCAGTATTTAGCAATAAGCTGCATGATAGGAAAGTTCCTTAGTGAGCTTTATTTAGGAAAAATGAGTGGGAAATTTGTATAAAATAGATTTGTATATACTCAATCAAACAAAACTTAATAAAGCAAGGTGTACGTCATCTAGTTAAAAAAAAAAAATAAATAAATAAAAGATATTAGTTTAAAGACTTAAAATAATATATATATAGTTAAAACAAAAAAAATATCTAAAATAAAAATTTTATTTTTATTGATAATTTAAAATTATTTGATTTTTTTTAATATAGATAAATATTATTATTTTATTAATTATTAAATTATTTAAACTTTACATAGAAAAATAATAAAATCTATTATATAATTCAATATATTAATAAGTTTAATATTGGTTTGCTTATATATAACCATCTAAACAGTAAGAAAAACAAAAATTAAAACTATTACAAATCAAAAATAATATCAAGAATCTAAAATCTTTACTCAAAAATATTGATAAAAGAAAAAAAAAATAATTAACTTAATACATTGTTATCAATGTTAGCCAGTCTATCACTACTTCAGAATTAGGTTTGCTGTTGATTATCATATAGTATCATATTGCTTGTAATACCAAAAGTACTTCATTAAGAAATTTTTGAGCAGAGGAACTCCATATACTATATCTCTGCATATCTCTGCCATCATTAAAGATCTTTGGAGAAACAAAATATATATATATAAATTTCGAAAATCTCTAAAAAATTATTTTCTCTGAAGATTATCGAAGGTTTTCGCAAATATTTGTAATATTTTAATAACTTTTGAAACCTTCAATAATCTCCGGAGAAAATAATTTTTCAGAGATTTTTGAAATTTATATATATTTTTTTGATTCTCCGGAAATCTTTAACAATGGCAGAGATATGCAGAGTTTCTTCACTCAAAAAATTTCCTGATGTTGTTAACATAACAATTCTCTGACTTTTCTTCCTTTTTTTTGTTTACTATCTACTAATAAACTTACTCTTAGCTTTCAGCAAATTTTTTAGGTAACAATAATTTTATTAAAATAAGTTTACTATTATTGTACTGCAAAATACAGATTTATTACAAAACAATTTACTCTTAACTCTTTTCTAACTTGGCTATTATAAAATTCTACTTCTATTTACTGTATATTAGCTAAGATATATCTATTAATCTAATATCATATCATGCAAAACTTTCATAAACTATTTAGTTTTATAATACAGGATCTAATGTATTATACTATATTATATAATTTACACTGATACTATTTCTATATCTAATCCTATTGCTAATATTTCCCACATTTATCATGTATACTCTGCAAACTAACTTCAAATCCAATCCTCCAGTTTTCAATTTCTAAAGCATAATAGGTCTTTTAAACAATAGTCAGATAAGATATAAGCTGTGGTAATCTAATAATGACTTGATTATTATATCTTCTTGTATTATTTCCATTATTATCATTACTTATTATATTTTGATATTTTGTAATACTTAAGTTTCCAATATTGAATTTTTTATAGTAAGTATTATTATCTATTGTTTCTATTTGTGCTAACTTATACACAATACTAATTGTTATAGTTCTGTGATTCCATTTTTAATTGTCTTTTTAGAATTTCTATATCACATTATATGATATATAGAAACTCCAAAATACTTTCACAAGATGATATGCTTGTTATATATTTTCCTTTAGCTGTTCTATCTGGTGTGAACATGATTTTCAGTGAGTCTATCACTTCTCAGAACCAGTACTCATGTAACATTCAGGTAAGTAGGTTTCTTTGTTCAAGGTGTATGATTTGACTTGGCCAGGTTTTCTATTAACTATTGTTTCTTTTGTTCCTTGCCCTTATGCTTCTACTGATAATCTTTGCCACTGTCTCTTTACGGCCCTTTAGATTATTCTCTTTCCAAGCTAGCAGTACTAAACGAGATAAGTTTGTTAATTGAAAATTCACTTCTTTGATGTCATCAATCATACTACAAAATTAACAATTTTTAATTAATAATCTCACTATGAAGTGTGATACTTTTGGATGTTCTGTTTTTCTTGTTTTATTTTTGATTCAACTCCTTTCTTTTATATAAGTACATTGTTCTTTTATAGCCTAATGCTATACTAGAATAGACTATCACTGATGTCATGGATTTAGACTTTAAGCTTATTAATAAACTACTGTATAAACTACTTCATTTTCAACATAACATTTTCAAGTTTTAGACACATGATGCATATTTCGCATTACATATCCATCCCTCATTATATCTTTTCCATTTACACTGAATTGTATCATTAATTATTAAATCTATTCTTTTGATTAGGGTAATAGTATTTTATTTAAACTTCATGGCAGAAATACTCAAGTAATATTTAATAATCTTTTTCTTAATCTTTGACTAGTATTGAGTTGTTTGCCATTGATACATAATAGATAAATTGCAACATATAACTATTGTATTCTTTAATACATATAAATGTTTTGCTCCTGTGATCATCAACTCTTTGTCTTTTAATCTTTTTGTGTCATTTCTGGTTTTAAGATTGATTATGGCATCCAAATTGATATTGATGGTGTACCATGCTTTTTTGACATACTCAGATCTCTGGATAGTCCTTTTAATCGCATTTGCATACTTGACTAGAAGTTCTTTTATTAAATTGTTCATCCAAACCATTCACCTTATTGTTATTATAGTGTGGAGTGCCAATCCTACAAAGACTTCAAAGTATGTCATTACTAGTTTCTTTTAAGCTTATGATAAAGTATATTCATCAGATATCTCCACAATGCTAAAATGTTATATAGCCTAAATGTCTCATTATCTGGTATATACAATATATTTTTCAAGTAATTATTATTTTTTTTGTCTTGATCTAATTTCTATAACATGGCCCTTAGTATGCTTCCACTAGTGTAGTAGCTCATTTTTTTACTAATGCTTCTTCCATATGTTCAGTTTAACCTTATGTTTCTTTATCTGCTTTAGTTTTTTTGATGCTGTTGTCCTCAACAGCGAGTCTGTTGCTAATCCGGACCAGGACTCGTGCTATGTTGGGTGAGTGGGTCTGTGTCGCTGGCGATACCAAAGGTACATGTGGTGATAGTTATCTTAACCTTCTCCTATGTTTGATTAGTCTCCTCTTCTGATCTTTCCTGTCAAGCTATAGGGTGGCGGATCTTCTCTAGGACGACTAAAAGGCAAATAAGGTAAGTTTATTAATTATCGTTACACTATACAATCACTTGGTCTTTTTAGGAAACAGATTTTATTAATTCAACTTGTGTTTTTTTTCTATTCTGGGTACAGTTGCTATTTAAACAGTTGCGACGCGTCTCTCTAATCTACCGTCGTGTCATGCAAACCCAACAGACTTTCCCAAACTCTTTGCCTATTAATCATGCATGAGTGATGCATGATTGATTCCCCATGCGGCGCTGCGCCGGGCCCCACATATCGCGTCCCTCCCCCTATTATTAATTTTCTGATAACAATGCTTATAGTTTCTGCTTAATTATCCAGCAACATTGATAGTTCTTTCTGTTATGCCAACCATTCAACAGGATTTGAATTGTCAGAATTTGATTTAGTGTCAAGTTCATCACAAATTTTCATGATAAGATTATTATTCTTCTCATCTATCATTTTTGGTCTTGTATTATAAAATGTAGACTGTTTTTTTATTACTGTACTGTCTTGTTTTTTTAAGACTGCTTTTACTAACTCATGTTGTTCTTTTAATTCATTTTTAATTTTCTTCTTAGTTTCATTGACCTTGTCAAAATTCTCTTCAATTACTACTAATGTTTCTTTCAATCAGAAGATATATACTGCAGACTTGAAGTCTTCAATAATGTGTCATCATTGGAGTTAGAGTTTTTACTCATTTCTTGTACCATTTCCCTTTATTATCTTCAAAGAATATTAACTATTTTTTTATGTTTCTATTAATTTTTCTTTTATTGATCAACCTTTTATTTTAATGAGTATTTTTATCAAATTCTTTAATATTGATTTTATCAGTGAATACCTCCTTGATCTCATCTTTCAAAATCAAGATTTTTGTCAAGTACTCCTTAGCAGATTTTTTCTTACTACTACTAATGTTATTTATTTTCTTTTCAGGTGCAAGCATCTCATCAAAATTTTTCTCATATTTATAACAACTTGTATCTCTTTTAGTCAACATTATTGATTTCTTTACAATGGTGATGATATTTTTCTTTTATTTTATACATTTGCTTTTTTAATTATTAAATGTAATCTTTTATCTTTTCTTTATACCTTGGCTTTGACTTCAGCTTCAATCTTCATCACTTTCTTTTTTTCAATTCTTTTTGCTGCTTTGGTTGTTTTTTTCTCTGTATTAGCTTTGACATTTATTGCTGCTTTGATTATTTTCTCTAGGTTGGTTACATTTGCAACAATGAGTAGAGACAATATGTTCTTTTGTAATCCAGTTGCAAATAGCCATGCTGCTGGTTTCTTATAGTAGTCATCCTTGGGGTACACCTTCTCAAAGAGTCTCACAAACCTATAGGCATACTTGTTCATCTTTTTGCTCTTTTCTTGCTTTATGTCTTCTGATTTTTTTTTCTATTGATGCCATTGTTCAAGTGTTACAAAGCATTGTATGAATATTGGCATGAAACTTTTTTTGCAATTGTATTTATTATTTTATCAGGTAAAACAGTTTCATTTTTTCTTATACCATCCTAGTGCATTTCCTTTTAAATACTTATTTACTTCTTTTAGCTTTTCATTATCTGTCCATTTTTTTCATTCAATAGCTTTATTATAGAGTATTATTCACGAATGTGAATCTTCTTCTATTCCATCTCACAACTTCCTGATTCTTGTCTTCTGTGTCTTCTTTTTTTTGGCTTGGTTCTTCATTTTTATTTTGCATATTGTTAGTAAAGAAATTGCTTAGATAAGGCTTGGGGATGCAATATCCATGTCACATGCCTAATCGAAGCAATAGAAATACCTTAGTAATTATTTAAATAATGTAATCAAAAGTTTAAATAGTTTATATAGTATGATAGTTTATGAGTCATAGTGATAGTCTTATAGCAGATAGTTATGGTAGTATAAATAGGAGTGACAAAAGCACAAAAAAAAAATAGAAATTCAGTCAATAATAACAATAATGCTAACTTTAACTTAATTTAGTAATAATAAATTATCTATCTAATAGAAGTGTGAAATGGTCATACAAGTGTTAATTAAAGATTACTAAAAGTGGTAGTGTGATAGACATGCTTTAAAAGAAAGTTAGTAATTAACCTCCCCTTCTAAAGTAACGTCACTGTGAGAGGATCATTTTGGTAGTCACTAAAAGGGATAGTGACTTGAACAATCGACAAAGGGTGACAAAAAAAATAAGAAGGTTAATTACAGGTTCAAGATCAGCTAAGTCAAACTCACGCCTCAAGTAGAGAAAAAAAGAATAACCTATCCTGATGTTATGCGAGTTTGATCTGCTCCAAGGGATCATTTGCCATTTCAATGTTAAAAATATATATCCACTGGTTTTTTTGAAACATCTTTTTGTAAAAATATGGAAAACCAGTTTTATTATTCATTATATTATATATGATTTTAATAATAATGCTGTTGCTTATTAATTAGAATGTTACATATTACAAATAAACTTCTTAGACAATTCCAAAGAGAGTATTATCTTGTTTTGGTGAATAATAATTAATTAAAAATTCATATTTTTGATATTTACACAAAAATATCAAAGAAGGAGAATTTAACGGGATTGCTTGTATAATCTACTTGAATTTTTCACCTATTGTTATCAATGTTAGCAAGTCTGTTACTACTTTGAAACTAGGTTTACTGTTGCCTATTTTATGGAATTGTATTGCTTGCAATATCAAAGATACTTGTTGACATTACAATTAACCAACTTTTTTTCTTCTTTCATGTACTTAATCTATCTATCAATAGACTTACTCTTGGCTTCTAGTGGATTCTTTAGACAATAAGTATTTTATTAAAGTAAGTTTACTATTATCATTCTACAAAATACAAATTTATTACAAGGCAATTTACTTCTAATTTTTTTCTAACTTGAATATTATACAACTTTATTTCTATTTATATTAGCTAAGCTACATCTACCAATCCAACATCTAATTATGTAAAATCTTTACAAACTATTTTAGCTTTATGATATATAATCTGATGCATTATTTCATATCATATAACCCATGCTAATCATGTTTCTATATTCAATTCTATTGCTAACAACATATAAATAATTAATTAAATAACTTTTCATATTACAACTTTGAATTACATATATATAATATGTAATACAACAAAAGTAAAAAATTGTTATAAGAAACAAGATTATAATATAATACAATATATCAATTCAAGTATCAATATAAAAAGAAAAGTTTAAGAAGTTTATAGAAAATTTGTATAATATAATATTGAATTGATGAATATATTACAATAGATATAAATAGAAGTAAAGGTAGTAATTAGTTAATTGTTAAGTGAATATTGTAATAAATCTGTATTTGCATTATAATAATTATTAAACTTATTTTATTAAAAAATGTATTATTTAAAGAATTCAGTAGTAGTTAATATTATATCTATTGATAAAGGATTTAATTACAAAAATAAATTAGAAGAAAAAAAATTAAATAATTTTTATATTAATAAGTACTTTTTATATTGTAAAAGATACAACTTTATATAATAGTATTATATATTGTTTTTATTTCAGAAGAAAGATAAAAACAGAAAATTAATGGCAGAAAGATATTTTATTTGAGAGAATCAATATGGTATGCTAAATTTCTAAATTATATCAAAATTTGTACAATTTTGAAATTTGTGAGATCAAACAAAAGAGACAATAATGATTTATTTCAAAATATTTATTCAATAAAATAAAAGTTCAATTTTACTTATTCTTAAGCAAAATTGAAGACTTTATATACAGTATATATTTGAGTTATAATATTCTTGTATATAATAAAAATATGCTATAATAAAAATATAAACTAAAGTATAGATTAAGAATGGGTCCCTAAACTATTTAGCATATAAAATTTTGCAGATCAATTATGTCCTTTTTGAAGGGACATAATTATTTATTCATTATTTTAATAGGGACATAATTCAAAAAACACTTGGATCAAATGTTCTAAATTGCAAAAAACCTTTGTGGGTAGTTTTTTTTTGATCTTATATTTAAAAAAAAACTTTTTTAATAGTAAGGGATATTTGAATTATATCCTCGTCTTTAATTTAGGGACCTATCTTTACTAACAACGCATTTATCAATCTATCAACACCAATCACTAACCAAGAACTCGAGGAGACACTTGCAGACCTTCCCAAATGCAAAGCTTTCAGCCCTACCTTCATCCCATATGAAGCATGGTCCCAAATTGGTCCATTAGGAAAAAAATATATCCAAACACTTTTTAACAACATATTAGCAACAAATCAAGTACCTAAATTCTGAAAGCAATCAGCCATTACACTCCTCCCAAAAAAGTTGTCTGATCACATGACCTCACCGATACACACCCAATTTCTCTTATTGAAACAAGCAGGAAAATTTTCACAAAAATAATCAACAATAGACCCTCTACCAGCATTCTGAAACACAGAGCCATATCAGACTCCAACTTCGCTGGACTAAAAAACCAAAGCACTACTGAACCAATCGCAATCATTACGTCCTGCATCAACATAGCAAATAATCTTAACAAAGAAATATGGGTCGCATCCTTTGATATCTCTAAAGTATTTGATTCTGTCAACCTTCCCAGTCTCAAAAAGGCTATGAAACACATCAAACTTTCACCAGAAGTCATCACACTAGTCCATAACCTCTTGAATGAAAGAGAATTGAAACTAATAACATATTATAAGCTCTTCGAACCTTTAAAAGTGTCCAAAGGTCTTGATTAAGGTGAAACCCTCTCTACATTACTGTGGACAATTTTTTATGACCTAGTAATTACTAGAATCTCAACCAAATCTCCAGCAACATCAAAAATCCTTGCTTACATGGATGATGTAGCCCTCTTCAACTCAAACATGCCATCCCTACAAGAAGCAATAAATACTTTCTGCTCCTTTTTATCACTAAACTCAATCAAATGTAACAAGAAAAAAACTGAACTGATTACCAATCTCAAATCATTAAATCAAAAAAGAAGGCAATTCCTAACTGTCGAAGGTGAAAGAATCCATCCCAAGCCATTTAGTGACGGCATCAGATACTTAGGTATCTACCTTTCAGGGAAATCATCCTCCACCTCTACAAAACACAAACTATCAGAAAAAATTCAAAAATTCACTAATGCAATTGCTTCACAAAAAGGTTGGAATGGATTAATAACCAAACAAGCCTCTCAATAGATCATACCAGCCCAATTAGAGTATACCATTAATGCAACCATCCCATCCAACAGAGAAATAACCACTTTCCAGAGAAAAATAAATAAACTAATCAAGGCAAAACTTGGAGTTGAATGTACTATTTCAAACAAAATCCTTTATTCACAAGCTGGACTCAACATTGTCAAACTTCAAAATTGACAAGATGTCACTACCATAAAAATTCTAACTATCAAGCTTACCAATTCTAAAATTTCCCC